CCAGCATGATGTATGCCAAATCCATAAGGAAGTAAATCTTTTAATTCAGGGTTTTTAACCTAAATGAATAAATATATATTATCAAGAGAAAAAGAAGGGTAAATGCATGCATGTAGTAGTTATTAATTAATTAGTTTGTTAACAATAAAAATTGATAATTGAACGTCTCATCAGCGCTGATAGACTGGTGACTGACGAGATTTCAGAGCGGATATAGAAAGCTCGATTGGCTTTTGCCAACCTGCGTCACTTATGGCGTAGGAGAGATATCCGTTCGCTAACCAAAGGACGGGTGTACTGTGCAGCAGTACAGCTCCGTTCTCCTATATGGATGTGAAACATGGCCAGTGAGAGTAGAAGATATTCGTAGGTTACTAGTTTTCGATCATAGATCTCTTAGAAGCGTTGCTCGTATATCCTGAGACACCCGAGTGAGCAATGCTGTTATTAGAAAACGAGTTCTAGGTAAGGATGGCAAATCAATTGATGAAGTATTGAAACTTCATCAGTTGAGGTGGTTGGGACATGTGTTATGTATGCCCAACCACCGACTACCACGACGAGCTATGTTTTGTAGTATAGGAGTAGGTTTGAAGAAGTCTGGGGGCGGTCAAACCAAAGCATGCCACAAATCCATGAAGTCACTGACAAGTAGACTGAGTCATGTTGGTAGATGTATGCTACGTGGTTGGGGTCGGCGAGACCAAAGTCACCAATGGTTAGAGACCTTGAACGACATGGCTCAAAATCGTTTGCAATGGCGCAAGTGCATCCATTCTTTGAGCTCTCTCAAATCCTAATCTTCTGCATTCGTCAGCACCTCTACCTTTGTCTTTGTAACCTTATCTCACTGAATTATACTTCTTGAATAATAATATCTTCAAACCCTAGTCTTCTTCATTACTATTAATTAATAATACTTCTACTATCTTTATCACTATGGGATTTGATTTGACATTAGCGTCTCTGTGCTAATAATGTGGTATGGTAACATGAACTTATGTACATATGTACGAAGTTCTTACGTTGCAACTGACTGATAATTAATTTAACCATATATCACATGTGAAAATTAGATTGGATAGTGTAGATACTTGATAAATCTTAGCACTTATTAAGTAGCAGAAGTTGGTAGTTAAAGATTTGAATGAATATACTGTATTTCTATCTAGTAATAAGTGATCATCAGAATTCTAAACAATTGGTTTCTAGATAGGTGTGTTCAGTGTAACTTATAGACATGTTTAGAACACATATTCCGAATTTTAAAAAATGGGAAATCAGTACGAATAACCAACATATTGTGTTTGAAATTAATAAGAACTAATTAACAACATCATTTGAGGCAATGTTGACAAAAAGAATATAAAAATATGAATATAGGAAATGAGATAAATTTATTACGTAAGGGTTACAAAAACAAAAGAAAAAAATGGACATTTCATTGTGTCCGACATAGTCGATACGTAGAAAGTGTCTATTGATTCTGGAAACCTTGCATCAAACGCCCTAAACTTCTGAGACGGTAGAGAAAGTTTGTAGAGCATAATTATGGTGCAGTTTCGTTCTCTGAGCTGAAGTTTGTGCCCAGATCGAACCAGGTGGTTTACGTAAGAAGTCATTTTTATCAAGGCCTTTCACGTACACATAACTAATTCATAAGGCAGTGAAGCGACGTCAGGAGATGCAGTTTTATGGTAGTCAGTGACCAGCAATAGGTTCATAAGTTATTTATTCCATCAGGATTCTGAAGACCACGTGCACCATTGGTGTCAAATCAGGGTTTTCCAACAGCCCTATGTATGTCCTTCATACCTACCAACCCGGTTAAAGCGCCGGAAAACTCGCTTTTAGTCCTCTCAATTTCGTAAACACATGTGCCTTGATTAGCAAGTAGGGTCACTCTTGGCCGTACCAGGACATTTGAGGGCGCACTCATACAATGATAACTACTCAGATAGATAATTTAAAAGAAAATAGATTTATGAGGTAGGCGGCTTTCGGGTATCATAGTCAATGAGATTGTATTCTGATACACAGTACCAAGAAATGAAAGCGATCAGTTGTAACCGTCCCTTCCGCTCAAAAGCAAACTGGATACTTGAGCGAGAAGGCAAAGAGAACAGAAGAGGTCTAATTGACTGCCGAATAATGTGAACGGACACTCGTCTATATATATATATATATATATATATATATATATATATATATATATATATATATATATATAGATATGTATTCATCTCCTTTGAGAAGAATGTCACTTCTTCGTCCTTTAGATCATTTTTGATTCATCCAATAGCCTTCTCATTAGGTCACTACTATGTTAGGATATTCACCAAATATCCTAAGAATACTATTTTTAGGAGTACAATCCAACTGGCCGAAATTATGATCGTTCTAACCGTCAAGGTCAAATACTTCAATGTTGTCTCTTATTGGTCATCCAGACCGTCAGTGTCATCTCAAATGTTCTTTCCTATTGGCCGTCCTAAACTGTCAATGTCACAGACTTTGATGCTCTTTCTTATTCGACCTTAGTGTATAAATACGCACTATCTGAAAGACTTAATAATTCGTTTCCCCTGCCTACCTCTTCTTCTGTATTCGACCCAATAAACAACTACATCCAACGGTGTTGCGTTCTGAAATATAGGAGATTTGGAAATAGCATTTTGGGTCGTATTGGGATATTTGAATTGGACGCCGTTAGGACTGAAGAGCTATACGTAGCAGCGTTACAACATACTCCTAATTAGTTCAGTACATAATCAGATTGTCTGAATGCAATCCAGTTCCGACTTCAAACTAAATCAACACTGAAGTAAGTATTCAAAACATGAATACAATGGCATTAATAAACTGATTCAAAAAAACACAGCCCCAATTATGAATCTTACTTGTTCAGCTTCTTGACGTAGAACCACAGCCGATGCATTTTTCTCTTTCATAAATATACCTAGAGTATCTTTTTCTAAACATGCATCTCTCAGAGTACGTGCTGTTTTACCAGTCTCTTTACGACTATGCACAAAAATTAATATTTGATTACGTCCAGCATGTTCCATCACCTTATCATATACAATATCATTCATAATTTGATAACGTTTCACTGCTTTCTTCTCAGTTATACCAATATATTGTTGTTCTAATGGTACTGGACGATAACTATACCACAAAGTAAAAAATGTAAAAACGCAATAACAAAAAAATCAATATTATATATTACTTTTTTTAGAAGAAAAAATCAATATGAATCAGGACTCTTCTAGAGGTCAGTCAGTAAATTACAGTGAAAATTCTCTTTTCTTAACCAACAACAACCATGAATGGAAAAAAAACATATAAAATGATACAATCTAACATGAGTAGGGTAAAAGTAGTTCATTAAATGATTTGATTTTCAATGACTACTTTTACTTGACCATACCATACATACATGCTGGCCTTGACACAATGATCAAGTGAGATTATCACGATGAAACAATTAATTGATCTACACCTGACTGACCTGGCTAAATAGGTTGACTAGTAAATGAAACGATCAAAAGTAGTAACTAAAGACTGAAGATGAGGTCATAGTGCTAATTGTACACGGTTGTGATAGCATTCATTACATAACCAGTATCTACAGCAATACTACCTTTTCATAAATCAAGGGTCAGAAAAGGTTACATCTAACTTAATCCTGATGAATTTATGTCATCGGTAGTAAAGCTAATGTGGTATGGTATAACTTGAACTGATGTACATATGTACGAAGTTCTACGTTGTAACTGACTGACTGACTGACTGGTCTCATTCATTAATTGTCTCAATCTATAGACAGGAACAAAAGTCTTCTTGTGACAATCACAGAGGAATCAGTCTAACTAATTATAGGGTCTTAAATATTAGCTTTAATATAACATTTCGGTACTCAGGTTGTAAGGGAAGACAAAGAGCAAGTTCGTAGGGCGCACCGCGAACGAATTTGTGCCGTCCCACATAAAATCTCGAATCATTGAAGGACGTGAAGTTGGAGTAAGCTGAAGTACGCTAGATATGGTCAAAAACAAAGACGTGGCATTAGTCCCTGAAGTCAGTGACTGTTGGACTAAGTCACGTTGGTAGATGCAGACTATCTGGCTGAGGTCTTCGTAATTACCATAACTGAAGGTTGAAGAAATCAAGCGGCATGACTCAGAACCATAAATGATGCCACAGATGCATTCACTCTATTATTCTTTAAGTTCTGTTTTATAACTAATTTGTCGTCTTACACTACAAATTCCTCATTTCTTTTCGAATCATTTCGTTTATGTGAAGCGCTTCTTAGAAGTAATGATACTGTTACTACTTTTAATACTACTCTGGCGTCTTGATCTGATGATACAGTGTGTAAGCAGTTGATACAATTCAACTAAGAACAAACAAAGTCCAATGAATTCTGGACGTTTTTCAGTTAGTTCTCAAGTTAGAAAACTTTTATTACTGAAAAGATGATAACATGAAATGACTCAGGTAGTCAATGCACCTGACTTGTTCAGTTACCATCATGGGTGAATAAGTTATTTATTTGATAGATAGGTCTAATCTATAAGGCAATAGAACAACGTCAGAAAGTGGTAGCCGGTTACCAACAATAAGTTCATACATCGTTTGTTCCATTAGGATACAGGAGACCATGTACACCATTAGTTTGGAATCAGGGTCTTTCAACTTCCTAAGGTGAATTCGCGGTGCCTACCAACCCAGTCAAAGCGCCGGGCACTCGCTTTTGGTCCTCTTAATTTCACAAACAACAAACGCGCTACAATAAGACAGTGGGTAAGAATTCCCTGGCAGTGATTATACACATGTGGTCAGTATTTTGAAAGGAAGAAAGGACTCTCCTTACTCTAGGGCCGTATCAGCGCATCAGGGTGTCAATTTGTGATTAGTGGTTCAACGGAAAATGGAAAATAGTGTAAACACGTACTCAAGCTTAAATAAAAAAAAACGACGCACGCTACACTAACCTATTATCAAAATGATATAATCCTTTTGAACAGTCAACTCGTAAAAATGTTGCTACATCTTCATAATTTGGTAGAGTAGCACTTAATCCAACAAGACGAACACCACCACCACCGCCAATATCACTAGAAACAGCTAAACCAGATGTATTTTCAACAGCACGTAAAGTTCTAGCAACAATTGCTTCAAGTATTGGACCACGATCATCATGTAACAAGTGAATTTCATCGAAAATTATCAATCTAACTAATTGTATATAAGCTCGTTCATCACCACCACGACGTGTAATCACATCCCATTTCTCTGGTGTACATACAATTACTTGTGTTTCATAAATTTGTTCACGACTAAGTTGATGATCACCAGTGAGTTCGTCGACTTTAATACCATAACTACTTAATAGCTTAACAATAAGACAAAATAACAAGAATGTGAACAGTCATTGTTGAAATATAGACAAACTATGAATTTTTATATAGGAAAGTTATAGGAATGTTGAATGCTAATAAGCATGTTTCAAACCTTTTCTGTTCTTAACAAAAGAAATTCTTCTTGAAAGATTTGTCTCTTGGAGTACGCAGGGCTAGAAGAGAAAATGTAGTTGTAGTATTCAGTTATCTGAACTATAATTTGATATTAGTGTACTACCATAAGCAACAATGCGAGCATGTTCGGGATGCGGTTCTCACCCTCGAAATGCAAAATATTGCTTCAAGATTGGGTTGCATCGACACCTGAACTAGTGATAGGGAGTGAAGTAGTCGAGCGTGTAGACCGCTTCACTTATCTGGGGAGTCTCATCAGCGCTGATAGCCTGGTGACTGACGAAATCTCAGCCCGGATACAGAAAGCTCGATTGGCTTTTGCCAACTTATGTCATTTCTGGTGTAGGCGAGATATCCGCTTGCTAAGCAAAGGACGAGTGTACCGTGCAGCAGTTCGCTGCGTCCTACTATATGCATGCGAAACATGGCCATTAAGAGTAGATGTTCGTAGGTTACTAGTCTTCGATCATAGATATTTAAGAAGGATTGCTCGTATACCGTGGGACAGCCGAGTAAGCAATGCTGTCGTTAGGAAACGAGTACTAGGTAAGGATGGCAAATCAATTGATAAAGCATTCAGAAGTCATCAGTTGAGGTGGTTGGGACACGTGTTATAAATGCCCAACCACCGACTGCCTCCACGAGCTATGTTTTGTGGTGTAGGAGTAGACTGAACGAAAGCTAGGGGCGGACAGACCAAAACATGGCAGAAATCCATGAAGTCACTGACAGGTGGACTGAGTCATGTTGGTAGATGTAGACTACCTGGTTGGGGTCCGCAAGATGAAAGTCACCAATCGTTAGAGACCTTGAATGACATGGCTCAAAATCGTTTGCAATGGCGCAAGTGCATCCATTCTTTGAGCTCTCTCAAATCCTAATCTTCTGAATTCGTCAGCACCTCTACCTTTGTGTGTTTCTAACCTTATCTCACTGAATTATACTTCTTGAATTATAATCTTCAAACCCTAGTCTTCTTCATTACCATTAATACCTCTACTATCTCTATCACTATAGGATTTGATTTGACATTTGCGTCTGTGTGCTAATCTGTTATGGCAACATGAACTTATGTACATACGTACGAAGTTCTACGTTGCAACTGACTAACTGACTGACTTGATATTAGTGTAGTTAGACAACAACAGATCAGAAAAGATAAACTTAATTAATTTATCGACTGGAAACTGAGTGCAACAGATGCTTTTAGTGGAGCATAAGTTGGATTATGAATAAATGAAGTAAAGTAGAAGATAATCAACTAAATTTTGAAAGGTAACTCTATTCTGATATGATTTGTAAATTTTTC